CCTCAGATTGATATCAAATCGATGGAGTTTTTTCGCGACGAATTCGAATATATCATTTTTACAATTCCAACGGATTGAAAAACTATTATACACTGTATCATTTTTTATGAAAAACGGACTATTGAAGACTATCGAAATACTATGCAGTTTTTCATCAAAAGTCCTTGAGAAAAAATATTAAAACACACATATTCTTACTCAGCTCGTCGAGTTCTATCCAACTGGGTATAAAAAGGCGAAAAAACAATTTTGCGGTTCCGGCATTTTACTTTGTAAAAGGCTTGTTGCATTGTTAAATTTTACTTCCGGTAGCTTTTTTCTCGTTCGATATACTTTGTTTAATTGAAAAAGAAATGTTTTCTTGGTTTTAAATGGGCATAAGTGCATGATAGAATGATATACAAGATATAAAACATTAGTGTTGTGCATGTGATTTTACGTATGTCAAATTATGAATTTTTAGTTTTTATCTAAAAGAAGTGTTCAGTACCTTCTCCACGATGTTAAAATACAAAACACAATGAAATTGCTTCACACATGTATGAAAATATTTGTTGAACACATTATCATTACTAGTAGTCAAGAAGGTAGTGAAGAACATCGAAATGTTTGTAAGATATTCAAGAGGCTAAGGATCCATCCCTACGTGGAATAGAATGATATATCTATTATCACTCTATCCTTCAATACGCATTATCAATGATGTTTTAGAAAATTCAAATTGACACCGTCAAATTAGAAAATTGTCAAATAAATTTCTGTCGAAACAAAATAATATGAACTAATTATTTTCGTAGTATTGAAAAAAATAGCTATATAGGAGAGCAAAAAAAGAATAAATTTCTTGATAGAAGTGTCATCAACATTATACGCCGTCTCACCCTACAAGAAAGATATGAGCGTGAAACGATAAAAAAGCATAGTATGTTCTATAGCCTCTCTACGTGTATAAGAAAACGTCAAAAAGCAAAAATCCCGTCATGGAAGAAAATCGAACGAGCAAACGTTTTTGATGAAATTTTAACAGATGTCTAAATTAGTCTTTTACATTTTTCTTTTCGATTTTTTTTATTGTTTTCATGTATGCAAAAGAAAATTAAGCTTCAGAATAAAAATAAAATGAGTTTGAAGACTAGAGCTAATGAATTCAAGGGCATTATAGCGGTTTTACTTATAAAAAAATCAATTATTGCCATTTTTGAACTTGTTGTTTTTGATTGCTGCATTTTTTTCTCTCTCTCTCTGAAATAGCTATTTTATAATGATTCAAATTGATGAACAAACTCTCACTTAGAGAGATGACGATATAAATACTATTACTTTCTTTGTTAGATGTCCATAGTGAACTTTTG